GTATTCCGAGAAACCTGATCTTTATCGGTAAAAAAGATAAAAAAGAACGAAAATTCCAAAAGTGACAAAATGGTATAACATGCTTAAGAGGATGCTGGAGTGCCTGACGAACTCCGACGCGAAAGCGCCATCATTTCGATGGAACTAAAAATGAGAGTAATATTATCGGCATAAATCATAATCTAAGTATGAATGTTTGTGTATGCGTATGTGTGGTGCGTGTATATATTCGCATATTATTGTATAGCGCCTCTCTGATATTATCCTGGAACTAATCTTCTGTTATTTTTTCATCTGTTATACCGATATTGGACGCACACGTATGTAAAAATAGTCGGACAAGAATATTTTTTACATTAGACTTTTCAGTCCAATTTTAATAGTTCCGTAACATTCTATTCTGCAGTCCGCAATTCGGGCTGCTCTTATTCAGCGTCTTAAAACTGTTAAACTTTTATAAAAAACGAAAATAGATAGCTCTATACAATATGTTATCCTAAGAGCAGAATAGAAATTAATGAATAGAAACAAATTTTGTTATTAATTCTTTTTTTCCAAATAAAGTCGAGCAGCCCGAATTCCGTTTTTGTGTACACTTTACTCCTGCAAAAGGATTTACAATTCTATGCAACCAATAAAAAGATATTCTTGTTCGAAAAAATATAATGTCCGGCCGGTAACTCCAGCATCCCCTTAAAGGTGCTGTATCGAGGCGTCGAGGTAGAGTTCTCTCGTATATTTAGACATGATATGTATTATGTATCGTGTATCATGTATCAAGTATTCAATGCACACACACACACACACATTTCAACCTAACCTAACAAATAATTTATTTTTATTTATGTGACTACGGCAAAATATTATTATGTAAAAACTAATCAGCGGTAATTTGCGATAACTTTATAATTGTCAAATTATAAAGTTGAATTTAATAGAAAAATGATGAAGCTCTTTTTTTTATTTGAAAAATATACAAGGAGAAATTTAGTTTAGGAAATTTAATTTAAAATATTTAATTTGCTATTACAATATGTATTAAATATTTTTACAAGAAACTAATCTATTGGTTTTTTAAGTGATATCAAATATTGATTAGACGACGATTAAAGAATTTATAGTCAGATTGGAACAATTTGTACAAAATTTAATTTATATACTTATTTTATTTATAGCGTAAATCACGTTCTTGTTCTATTCTTGTTGAGAATTGCAACGGATATTTGTTGATCAATATTTGAACATGTCTTTAATGAAATAAACATTAAATTTTATTCATGACGAGCGTGTCACATAGACCAAAACATCTTCGGCAAGTTCCGGAGCTGTAATCCTACATGCGTTCCGCCTTTAACTTCAGTTAACCTGTGCGGGTCAAATACACGCTTGCCTGACCGCTTTGTCGCCTGTGACAGGTGCCGGTTAGATTCGCAAGTTTAATCCAACTCGGCTTGAAACCGAGCGACAATAAAGCGTGTAGATAGCTGTAAAACAGTGAAACGCGAACGTGAAATGTTTTCTCTATCAACCATTCTCGTAAAGTATATATTTACATTAATTAAGATTCTGTCTTTTCTTTTTTTGTTTTGTTTTTTTTTGAAGACAAGACTAAAGAAGGTATGAGTAAAGTCATAAACAATTGATTAAGTTTAGTTAATGTTTTCACGAGTGAACGAGGAATGAAGAACAAGAAATTGAGAATGGAAGGAACAAGGGAGGGCTCTCTTTAAGGGCTCTGCCCACACACTTTAGCTTTAACTTTGGCTTTAACTTTTACTTTGACTCATATTTACGCGATCGAATACTTTGCGTCGGACAATTCGTCCGTATCTAAATCGCTTTAAGAAACAAAGTTAGTATATATCTTTTTACGAATGGCTGTGACTTTTTTTCATAGAACCGCGCTTATCTCATTCTGTTAACAACGGATCCTTTTGCGGTAGCGCTAGGAAGTAATACCGCGTAATTTGCAAGCATGCAGTACACGCCCTGCCACCGTACCGCCCTTACGTATATACACGCTCTCGTTGCATAACTGACCTTAGGTAGACCCCGGTATTCGCGCTGCAGCGGTCATTACAGTTGCGTATTAGTGTCGTCTGATGCGAAATCACGGATATAACGAGCACGAACGTGGGATTAACGTGAGATTCCTTGAAATACGTATAGAGATTATTAGGTCGCGCAATATTAGTTATCAAACTCTCTAATGTTAATGCGCAGCAATCGCAGAAAAAAATTTTGACGGCACATTTTAATATTTATACGCAGTTTATAAATATTAAAAAATTTAATTTATTATTTATACGATATTTTAACTTTTTTTTATTTTAGTTGTGCAATTATTATTGTGACGATATTGTTTTTTGTTTATCTTACTTTATTTTACTTTAATAACCAAGAGTTGATACTTGAAAAATAATAAGTAAAAAGCGTTATATTTTTACGAAAACATATATTTTAAAAACACGTGAACTTCAAGGTAAGCGAGTGTCGGAATTAAATTGATCTTTTTTCATTTTATCATGTGTACAATTTTTTAATCACGATTTCCAATAAAAAGCGCAATATTCGAGCTGCTATTCAGAGTCTTATCGAACGGTATTACGCGTTTACGTCTAGGATATTGCAAAGGAAATTGCAATTTTATTTAGAGTACTTGTGAAATTGGAATTCCTATTTCAATTACGTAGAATCTGTTTTTCTGAAGATATAAAAACCTGTATATTTGCTTTGTCTGTGATAATGACCTTTTTATTATCGCTTTTCGCGTATCCTACGTGGAGAGTACAAATAAAACATTGTTATTTTAAAATACACAATACGAGTAGAACAGGCTAATTTTTAATTGTGTTTTTAGATACTGACTTACTATGTATTTTTTTATATAATATATGTGGGATAGATAATTTTGACCAGAAGTAACGGGAAGAATAACAATTTATTAACAGTATACAGAAAAATACACAAAGACTCTCGAAATGCACCAATGGCTCGGTACACGCTCTTACAACTCATGAAACTCTGTCTCTGACTCTGATTCTAACGTTCGAAACACTGTGTTTTCTTGAAATACTCTAAACACACTGTACACTTGCTGTACAATCGCTTGTCCTTATATTCTCTATCATAGATTCTCAATTTCCAATCACGCTTTTACACCTTCTCGTTATTTTTCTTCAATCGCACACCGCACTCGCTTTCATACGCCGCAGTCTCTCAAAACAGTCATATCGCACAAACAATCATGCATCACACGTTTCAATATTATCTCTCATTATGTCGTTCATTCTCTTATTCTCTCACTCATTCTCTTATATGCTTATATCTTATAATCTTACTCATATTAACTTTATGTTTTTAATTAAATATTTTGCAAAGTGCAGAGTGTTGTTTACACGTTTTCTCACTGATAACACGTAGAATATGTCACAGAGATGTTGCACCACACATTTTATGAAAGTAGTGCTATGCAGAAATATACCAGGAAAATGAAGTCCAAGCTCAGTGACCAACTTTGTGTTCGCTGACTATTCTTGGAATTTTCACAGAGACATATCTTTTCCGAAACATGTAGAAATCCTGGTGTAAAGCATGTTCTGAATAATAATGATGTACTCAATGTATGCGTATTTTACAAACAAATGGGTCAAAAATAGGTCAAGATTCTAAAATAGCATTAGAAAGCAATAAATTATTAAAAATTTTCAAAAAGCAAATAGATTTTCATATGTATTAATTTCTCATTTGACTTATGACAATGACAATTTTATAAATTGAATATTTCGAATGCAATTGCTCGTAAAATCAGTTAATAGAATAAAATTATAACTGCACATGTAACTAAAATGTCGATATTTATCACGCGAGACACTTTTCTCAACGATATCTGTAATCAGCATCTGATTTCAATTTTATTGAACATTTTCCTGATCCAGAATGATCGTCTTATCGGAGCAATAGCATTCGTGCGATTGCAGTCAAAAGTGACTTCACAAGAAGACCGGTGATTATTTGCCGTAAAATTTATCGACGGCGGAAAATCAATATCCGTGTCGTGGGTTTTAAAGTAACAGGTGCAGATCCTATCTCGCGAATAAAAATATCTCGTATTTTTCAGATTTTTCAGATAATGTGTTATATATATTCAAATGATATGTGTGTATTCGATGGTAGTTTTGTGAATAGCGATTGCTATTAAACCTGTTAAAAAATCTGTGTTTCGTTACTCGTTGTCATGTTACATTTCAATTAGTGTTACATTTCAATTAGAATATAGCGAAGTAACGAAAAAATATAAATTAGCTTTATAAAAAATAAAAGATTTGAATATTTTATATATTTGAAATAATCGAAGAGTGAAGCAAAGAAAAGTGAACATCTCTGATAATTCGACTGTGAAACAAAAGAATAAACATTCCTATCTTTACACAAATGCATGCATTATTACGCATTTCCTAAATTTTATGTTTAAATAATTATATGAAAATTTCTGAATTTTTGGACTTGAAGTTAGACCCGAACAGTTTGAACTGTCCAAAAATATTTTCAGTTTGAAAATATAAATTATTTAACATTCTCGAGATCTCTCGAAACGCGCGATTCAAATTACTCGACCATCTAAAATTTCCGAACACTGATATAAATTATGATTACATCTGAATATATTGCGTTATACACTTTAACTATGCAAAATGCATTATATGCTTAGTATGCAACACGCAATAGCAGTAATTTAACATGGGAGTTGAAGCGAGTAAAATTCTGCTCTAGTTTCACCCCCCTCGCCCTTCATTACTCTCCGTTGTACTAAACTTTCGTAACTCATTAGAGGTTTTATCTTAGTTCGTCGTACAAGAAGCGCAAAAAATATGCTAGATATGCACACAAGCAAAGAACAGAAAAAAAATATATACACAATATATTTATAATAATCTATATATGTCTTGTCTTATTTTACTATCTTTTTGTCGGGTTTTGAAATTATTTGCCAGGAAATATGTTTTATCGTGAATTATTTATTTATAATTATCTCATGTAAAAAGATGAATAATTATTTGCATGAATTATTGCATATTACATATTTATATTATTATCTAAGTAGTCGAAAATTCTAACAGTTTTAGAATACAAACTGTAAATTCTTTTTACGCGATATAATTAAAATATCTAGATGTAGTAATCACAGAGGAATATATAGATAAAAGCTGATATTAGTTATTAGTTTCTGATATAATTCTGCAGCTGGGGATTAGCGTCAGTCTTAGTTCCGAGAATGTAGTGTGTTACAAGGTACTCCATTCGACAAGTTTGATTTAACGTTATCGTAGATGGGATTAATATGTGTAGCAATTAATTAGCAAGGAAGAACATTTTGGAATAAGCGTTCATTCGGTTCCTCGTGAGTTCAGGCTTGAGTATTAATAATACAAAGGAGTCGTCAAATTCTACAGCTTATATCCTTACGTCAATAAAAATTTATAATGGATGGCAAAAAGGAGGGCCAAGAGGGGAACAAGCGGAATAAAGTAAAGTGAAGAAAAATGATGAAATATTAATAAAGAGCGATGACACGACCCGAAAAAAAGTTACTACAGTTATTTATAGCGCGGGCTTTAGAACGGGCGATTCAGAGCAGCCGTGGTGTAAATAACGTGGTGTAAATAACAGCACCCTGATTCGGTGCGGTCGGGAACACCATATCCTTGAGCTCGATTGTGCTCTTTGTGGCGTTCTGACAGAGATCCGCGCGAAGCGCATCCACAAATCGTTGAACTTCGTTTTTGCAGATAATAGCCACAATGCAACCGCCCCAACTGCAACACGGAGTAACGAAATTTAATAACGAAAAACGTTTAATTTTTTAAAATTTAATTATTGTACGAGAGTAAAAATATCAAATTCAGACGGCTAAATTGACAATTAAACTGTTGGATCTTTCACGAGTATGAAAAATAATATTACTAACACCAGTGTGTAATAAAAAATAGTAAATAGATTTTTTAAATATATTATTTAATGAAATACTTCGTCGTGAGAAACATTTTATATCCGTGAGAATAGAATCTAACTCAAGTGTAACTCACACACTTCTTGCCGCGTGTGCATTATTACACTTTTAGCTTGTAACATGTAATAATACACCACTTACCCAGCGCCTGTGAGTCTAGCGCCAAGTGCACCGCAACGCACGGCTCTTTCAACGAGCGCATCCACACTAGGATGGCTACACTCGTACAGTTTATGAAGACTGGCGTGGCTCTTCGACATCAGACTACCCAGATGCTGAAGCTTCTCGTGTTCCATTTTGTCGCCTTCCTCGTTTACGCGGCGGAACGCGAGCACTCTGCTGGCCTCTGCGGTGTAAATGCAGCGATGTAGTTAATCGACACGAGTTTATTGGTTATCGCGATAATAAACACCACCGGCGCTTTTTCATGTGATAATGACGTAATGTAACAGTTAAGGAATATTTGCATTTAATGAGATGCCAATCGATTTGATGTTAATTAATACGCGCGTCTTCTCGTTATTATTATTATTGTATCGAAAAAGGGCTAATTATGAAATAGAAAAAAAGATTGCATAAGAAATTTAAATATTTCATAACCGGAACGTCATCTCTCTTTTCAATTAAGCTTTTCCGTAGTATTTAATTTGAAAACATGAGCTCGAACGCGATTTTTCCACAACGTATGTATGTAGAGATCGTAATCTATACATATGTCCGTCAAAATAATTTATAGCTTCGTAGAACATTGATTGATCACTGAAACATTTTTATGCATAAAACTTGTCAGGACGTGCGATAACTTCATTATAGAACGAGAGTTCGATCTGAAACTTTTCACGCTCCTTTTACATCGTCGGTAGTAATAATACCAGGAGATAAGATGGAAAACAGTTAAATGCTTTTATAATTGAGGTAGCAAATGGGATGAAATAAAGTTTACTTCTAACTTTTTTAATAGAACACTTTCGCAACATTTTCAAGCGCGAAGTTCACAGGGAAATGTGGTGTGAGGGCAACCTTTTGCTTGCGTGAAAAAAGTTAAGAATACATTGGCTGAAGAACGGGAGGGTAAGCTCTCTTGATTTATCGGATATAGAATCGCGTTTTACGATTTACCAGCGCATGAAAATTGATGCTTTTACCTTGAAAAATGTGCAGAGCTCGTTGCTGCAGCTTGAACGTTTGCGAGGAATTAAAGGAACTGACGAGAGACATCTTCTTCAGTCGCTCATAGTCTGTATCGAGGGTCTCGCAGATCTAAGGGAAAAATTTATATTCCGTCGATAATATTCTCTTCTGTGATTCGTGCCGTCGACAAGAAATACAGTTGGATAGGAAGTCGTTTAACGCGATTAAGCGATGATTTAATGCTACATGAAATGCAGTTCATTTTTCATCATTTTCATCGTTTTTAATAACATCTTTTCGTGGCGTAGTTCATGAAGTTTACTTTTTTTCTGTAACACGCTTCTTTGATAATCTCCAGGAAGATCCGCACTCCCGTCGAGATACTACAAAAAAAGGAAAATCTTGTTTGCTTATTATTGATAATGCAACAAATATGTACCTCATCAAAAGTATATGGCTCTTCGTGTAGATCTGTCATTACTACGGTAACCATTTCATCCAAGTCAAAGGACAGCTTTTCCTGAATGTCGATTAATCTTTGAACGCGCTCCCAGTCCTTGTTTCTTTTTTTGGCAATCATCTACACACAAAATATATTCGTTCATATTCAGTCAGTTGAGAAAGTAATCGTACTATAAATAAAAAATTAGGTCTGTAAAACTTTTACTTCTCTCCATTGTCGATGTTTGCGCGAAAAGAACTTGCTTTTGAAGTGGAAAGAAAAGCGAGGGAAATAAAATTAGGGAAGCCGTGAGAGTTAGAAAATGTCCTGAATAAACGCGAGGTGCATCGATCAATGTCCCTCGGAGGACGAAGAGCTTCAGAGAAAACCGTGAAAGTCGGAAAATAGGTTTTATTAGTGAATATAATTTTATTCGCGAATAGTTTCTAGATTTATATTTATGGATTTCTAAAGAGCTTGACGTATTTCGTGCTAAAAAAATCGGATTAATAAAATCGGATTTAAATTGGTATTTGTAAATAATAATAGCTGTAATAAAAAATTCTATTTTTGGATGCGACATTATTGTTGACAATATATACAGTACCTGCGCAGCTAATCGGCATTCCGCAACTCTGATATTAAAGTCGGCAGTCGAGGCTTTATTGTGATAAGCTTGGCTATGCGCTATTACGAACACTGCGTTCTCTGGCAGTGTAACGTCGGTGGCGCGTAGGGGATTAAATTCTATCAATTTTGCCGAGCCTTTACGAACAAAGAAAAAAAGTATTATAAAAACTGAATTTCTTGATATGAGAATCTCACACTTTATGCTTAATTTTGCGATTGAATAATAGCAAATTATTTTCAGTAAATTAATTCAATTTATATATTTTTTAAAATTAAATTTTGTAACAAATAGCTTATTATGCGAAATATATATATATAATTAATGCAAACCGTAATTACCTGCTTTTCCAAGAAAAGCGATAGCCTGATCCATCCCGCCGCCCTGAGTGCCGATATGTCTCTCTGCTTGAGCACTGATAGTCGCCAATTCATGTTTCGACAATTGGCACTACATAATATAGATATTGTCGCCAGATAATTATGACTATTCAGGATTAAATTGACTAGGAGGAGAACTGATCAGGATTCTATTGTACTGATCCAAGACTTGAATAAAGAGGGAGGAAAACTTATATAAGAACGAAAACTTCCGAATCAACTAATATGTAGGGCATCAGATAAGCCGGAAGTTGTGAATGACAAGATAATGACACATATACAAGAACAATACAAAGGATCAAGGAAGTTTGCTAGCTATTTGAAAGTTCTGCTAGCTATCCACTTCCGATATCCGTTTGTGTAAACATAGCGAAATCGCTAAAGGAAATAAGATCTACATCCGAGAACAAGAAAAACAAAATGACAGAATGCAATACGGAGTAGTGATCGGTAATTCGATCCGTTCGGCAAACACAATACTTTCCAGAGCATTCAATTTTCGTGAGAAATACATGATATGTTCTAGAATTGCTCGTACAAGTTGAGAAAATATTTTAAATCGATGAAAATCCGGGAACACGAATAATTTACGAACTTTTATATTTTAATATCCGCACGGTCGACTTGTCACTTATTCATTATTTGGAAAATTACATATAAATATTTTACAATGCGACGCAAAAAAACGATAATATAAATATATATAATATAATATAATATATTATTTATATTATATTATATTATATTATATTATATTATATAATAATATATTTAACATTCGACATAAAATGAATGATTAAATCGCTCACCTGACTGACATGCACAATTGAAAGGAGCGCGGCTGAGACAAGTGCGCTAGAACTGGAGAGACCAGAATTAGGAGGAATGTTGCCCCATACCGTAGCTAGGATTCCCGTAGGGACGGACTTCATGGAGATTACCTCCAGCGCTCCTTTTACACCGCACAGAAAATATTTGTACCATGCCGGTCCGCTCTCGCTATCGCTAATGCGAGATCTGAAATGCGCGTTTTTGCTACTTACATTTACAGAATTTTAACCGCTGCAATTGAGATAGGCAAAAGGATAGTATGTTGACATTACAACTTTTTACAGTTTACTCGAAATATTCTTCCCCTTTTTCTTTCCTTTTATACGTAATTAATTAACATAAATATGCAAGGCGTACTTGTTGAAGTGTTCATTCCTTTTTATTTTTCAAAATGAAAAATCAAGTAGTATTATTTATTTTTTAAGCTAAAGAAACGTGTGATTTTATAAATTATTATTATAATTATAACAAAGTTTTATATTAATTTCATATTAATAATATAATAAAATTCAATTCAGCTATAAAATTTATGCTCCATTTATACTCTGTTTTTTTAGTTAAAGATTTTCTTGCCGCTTAAAAGGCAGGAAAAAGTGATTAATTATGATGGGACATTCTGTATAATATATAAAAATCGAAAGATCGATAATGATATGTTCGCTGAGTCTGCCAGCTAACTTATATTCTATCTGACGCGGTTGCGCGACATTGAATAATGAATGAGATTAAGAAAGTTCGTATTATCTTCCCGGATATTATGTCGGGAGCAAAGAAAACGCGAGGGTAATTTAATCCAAACGAGAGCGAGGTTGTGCGAGAGTACGATCTGCTTCTTTTATATTACTCATAATACACATAAGTTTGTCGGGTCATCCGTCATTTTTTCTCCAAGTTTTACATCGCAAATTAACTATTTTAATTTTCGTTTGGTTTAATTTTATTTACTCGCAAACCGAAAAGGTCCTATCTCAATCATTGCGAACGCACGTACATTACAAAGATAAATTGCACATAATTCTAGTTTCAACCTCGTAATTCAAGATGGTCGTAGTTGAAGGATCACGAAGCTTAAATTGTTAAGGGGCTACAAGTGTTTGAGACCACAACTGCCAACGCGACAGTGCGTTATGATATTATATTATATGTCACGTGCAAAATACTGTTATACACTGTACAAAATATAGCTTGGCATAAAGCTTTAGTAACTTCAGAAAAGCAAAAGGAGGAGCTTCTTTAAACCTATAATGTGTCGTGCAAGTTTCTAAAAAAATAGCCGAGAAATTGCCAACTTGTTTGAACTATTAACTAACGCTATTCATTTAACAAAGTTAAACTGTTATTGAATTATACGCTCACCCTACATTCTCGAAACTGCATCGAAAGTCCTTGTATTTAGGATCTACATTGGTGAGGTGAATCTCATTATCTTTCGACAATGCTACTGCAACAAGTATATCTTGTTCAATGGCCATTGGACAGACGGCATACCCACAATAATCGATGTGCTCGCCTATCAGATTTACTCTGTAATAAGATTACAGAAATAGGGTCATTCGTAAATGTACACTCAAAAAAATATTTCGTTGATGTAGTTAGATTTCTAGATATCGCAACAAGAATGTATCGCTATTTTTCGTATCTGTGAAAACATTGTTTGTCACATATAGAATTTATAGCAGTAATGTTCTAGCAATAGCTTCTGAAAAATTTAGGTACCATTGCTAAATGTTATTCATTGCATGATCTAACACGTGATTGATCTTATATAGATAGGCGCTTTAGAGAAACTTTCTTTTTAAAGTTCACAAACAATACAGATATATATTCTGTTTCTGTCATCTAAACTGATTAAGTAATTACATATGCAATATCACAACAGTTGCTAATCATTTATCTGTTTTAGTTAATTTTTTACACCTAGAAAATTTTAGCTATTATTGCAAGATCATTTTTTTGAGTGTATATCTATATTTATTGAAAAAACAATTTTTAAAATGCACAAAAATCAGAAGACTCGGATAATGTTGCCATGTATTCAAAAATCAGAATATAAATTTATAAACGATTATATTGCATTAATTATATAATATTTTATATAATTAAGCACATTACATTTTACATAATTAATTATAATATAATATTTTATACAATTAATTTTGTATAGTGAAAGAGAGTGTAGAATGTACAAAGTGATTTTATCATATCAAAAAATAACATACCTTCCCGGCACTCGAACGAAAAATATAGGCTCTGCATTATATTTAGAGGTGAAATGAGTGGCCAAGATCTTCAATCGCGGTGAAATATCGGCGGTGGGTGTCAAGATAGGCACAAGGTCATCCGCTTCGATGACATGGGCCCCGTTATCTTGATGGGACATTCCTAACAGCCAACTACGCGCAGAGATATAAAAAAACTTTTTAAAATTACAGGACATTCCACGTCCAAATTAATTCCTGTCATTTGTAATGGAAGTTATATCTGGGAGTTTCATCATCATTTTCACCCACGATTAATCTAATGAAATTACGCGGTTGCAAAACTTATTGCATGGTTGAATGCTTTCTCTCGGCATCGGCGGCAATTTCCCTGGTAATTACGGTACTGTTATAATATAGCTTCAGCAAACATGTTCAGTAAAAATATGTACGTAGCAACCCTGTTATGTAATCTCAATTTTAAGACCTCTGTGAAGTTGGCATCCCATTTTTAAAAAAATCAATTTTTTTTAGAGTTTTGAATGCACCCCAAAGAGTTTTAGAGTTTTCCATAAAATTTATAAATAGTTCCGGCGAATTAGACAAAAAAATCCATTATTGAAAGTATGGGGTGCTAACTTCAAAAAACGTTATCACAAAATTGACGATAACAGCTTAATCGTCGGAAATAATTGAAAATATCATTAGAATTATTTGTAGAACTCTTAAGGTGCTACCCAGAACTCCAACGAAAAATTAAATTCCAAAAAATTTTATTCTTATTGGAACTTAGAATATTTTCTTAATCGGTGATACGAAAAATAGCGAGAACTTGTTATATATTGGTCTGAGCGCTTTGAACCTTAATAATTATCGTTAGAACTCTTG